AGCCTGTGTGTCCTGTAGATGGGAATTTAAATTGGTAAGCCACTGTAGAAAACAGTATGGAGGTTCCTCAAAAAATTAAAAATATAACTACCATATCATGTGGCGATTCTACTTCACAGTATTTATCTGAAGAAAAGAAAAACAGTAACTTGAAAAGGTATCTGCACCTCAATGTTCACTGTAGCATTAACCACAATAGCCAAGACAGGGGAAACATCTTAAGTGTCCATGATAGATGAATGGATAAAGAAATTATGGTGTAGGTATATATATATAATGGAATGTTATTCAGTCATGAAGAAAGGAAATCCTGCTCTTTGCAACAACATGAATGGGCATTCTTCTAAGTATAATAAGTAAGACAGTGAAAGACAAATATAATATGATCCACTTTTTGTGAAATCTAAAACAAAACAAACATCAAACTCAGATACAGAGAAAATACTGGTGGTCGTTGGTGGGGCAGGGGCGGGAGTCTGTGTTGAGGAAGGGAAGGTAGGGAATGGTAAAATGGGTGAAGGGAGTCAAAAAGTACAAACTTCCAGTTATGAAATAAGTAAGCTCTGGGAATGTACCACATGGTGACCAGTTACTAAAACTATATTATATAGATAACCCTTGAACAACAAGATTTGAACTTCACTTGGATTTTTCCCAATAAACACATACTACAGTATCACATGATCCACAGTTGGTCAAATTCAAAGATGTGGAATCTCAGATGGGGGCTGAGTTCTGCTCTTGTCACTGTAAAGTTGTATGCAGATTTTCAACAGCACAGAGGGTCAGCACTCCTAACCCCTTGAGTTGTCTAACTATATATACATATATCAAACAATTGTGTTGTACATATGAAATTATTACGTTATATATAAATTATATCTCAATAAAAGAGATCCAACCCACTAAAGCTCAATATATGTGACATGTTTGGTATTTAAAAAACTGTAACATTTCATTCAGAAAACGTGAATTCATAAACTAAACAACGTCAAAGACAAAGTCCCAAACAAACAGAGTCTACCACTGGCACCTCCTAGGTTCTCTGTATGTGGAAGGCTGGGCCACCAAATAATTACTTTTTTTATCCAATGTGAAAATGACCACTATGAAAATAAAAATCAAAATGCCCTTCAGTTAGCAAATGTGCAAACAAATTAGTCTAACAAATTGCTGAATACCGTAATTACAAAGGAATGAAGCACTGACATTTGCACCAAAGATGGCTCTCAATTATGAGTGAAAAAAACCAGACTACCCCACCCCGCAAGACAGCACATACATGAAGATTCCATTTAGATAAAACCCTGGGAAATGCAAGAGTGACAGAAAACAGACGAGCAATTGTCTAGAAAAGCCCAGAGGGTTTACAAAAGGACAAGAGAAAACTTTAGGGAGGTGATGAGTACATTCACTATCTGGACTCAAGTGTTGGTTTCATTTGGTATACGCATGTAAATCACCATCAAACAGTATACTCTAAGTACGTGCCATTTACTGTATGACAATCATATCTCCATAAAGCTGTTCGGAGAAAAGAAAAAGATCATCAAAAAAAACCTCTCACTCACACATCTTCCTGGCTTGGCATACTGTATTAATACCTTCCCCCTTAGTGATTTGAATGTATGAACAAAACTTTAATAATCCTAAGACTTAAATAGAATAATACCTAATTAACATTTACGTAGCTGTGACTATGTGCCAAGCACTGTTTTAAGCACTTTTCTTGTATTAACTTATCTAACCCTCATATCAACCCTGTTTTTGAGATGAAGCAACTTAAGGTATAGGACTTCCCAGGTGGCACAGTGGTAAAGAATCTGCCTGCCAATTTAGGAGACTCGGGTTTGATCCCTATGTCAGGAAGATCCCCTGAAGAAGGAAATGGCAACCTGCTCCAGTATTCTTGCTGGGAAACCCCATGGACAGAGGAGCCTGGCAGGCCACCATCCACGTGGTCAGCAAGAGTAGGACACCACTTAGCGACTAAAGCAACTAAACAACAAAAGACTGAAGCACAAAAGGGTTAAGTAATCAGTTTAAGCTGGTAGCTGGAGGAGCTAGGATTTGAACCCAGAGAATCTGGCTTTAGAGTTCATTTCCAAGACCGATTATGCTTACCAGCATATACAAGATATAGTACAGGAAAATCAGAAGCAATGAATATTGCACTTGCAAAATACTTCTCTTCCTCACATGCACAGAATATAAATATCCACTACATCTTGCAACATACACAAGAGACTAAATAAAACATAACGGGACCTTCATTCTTCTTTTCCCAATTAATATTTAGATGGACGAAGGAAAGACAGAAAGACTGGATAACTTGTTTAGGACACAAAAATATAAACAGCAAACTGAAGGGTTACTAAGAAGTTAGTTCACCAAATTTCCAGTCCAACTCGCTTTATAATTATTTTAAGTAAATCTACAAGGGAGAAAAATCTAACAAACATCAACACAGAAAATATAAAACTTATTTGTTGTTTCTCAAATACCTTAACTTCCTTAAATTCCATCCACAGGATCTCAAACTCCACAGATACTGCTCTGGGTTGTTGTTTTTTAAGCACCCCAAGTGATTTTCATAAGCAGCCAAAGCTGAGAACCCCTGAAATAAATCAGATTTAGATTTGTTATTTTAAACTGATAAAATGCAAGGTGCCAGAAAAGCTTTGGCAAACTATGGTCCAAGGTTTTCCAAGTTGATATTGAACCACTGAATACATATAGAATTTTGAGTTCAACTTCAAATAAATTAAAAATAAAATATGTACATAGGACACAAGGTGTTGCATAGCAAATGTTACATAACAATATAGGGGGCTGACAAAATTCTCAACTTTTTAGAATGCTAAATTGGCATCTTGACATTAAGCTGACGGATATAAAACCACATGTCCACTGCATTTAGAGCGTGGAGTAAACTGACCATATATTGTTTCAGAAGCACAAGTTGTAAAGAGAAAGTCTTTGTCTTCGGTCCGTGCCCTCAATCAGTGCTGTCTGAACTTAAGGTGCGCTTCTCAGGGCAGATTCTGATTCAGGGCCTGTGGATGGAGTCAACTGTGTTTCTAACAAGCTCCCAGGTGATGCTCAAGTGGCTGATACAGAGATCACAATTGGAGCAGCAAGGCCTTAAGTACCTTGAATATTGGTTGTAAAATTAACCAGTTCGTCTACAAAGACAGTCAGGTCCAGGATCCAAGAAATAAAGTGTCAGTATGATTTATTCCTAGTCCAGGAGGAAAAAGGAGTGGGGGAAGATAGGGGAAGGAGCAAGCGAATACTTGCTTGTACACTATAGCAGGGCTAAGAACCAGAAAACGCTGTTACTTGCCCAACCTAGCAGGTGACAGAATGGAAACCCCATGAAATAAAATGGTTTTTATTTACTACAGAATCCTTACAACCTAGTTCACACCAGGTACTCAACGAATGTACTGAATAAATGAATGAATGTGTATACAAATACAATCTGTATTTATGTCACAAACCAAAAAATATCTGGGAAGGGGAATCTATTTGTACTGAATACACGTAGATGTTTGATATAAATACCTGGCCCACTCACTGTACTCCATTTCGTCCAAATAATAATTATTTCCCAGATCAAAACTTCCACTATCAAGCCCAGGCTTCCGGCACCCTTCTTTTTAAAACAACGGAGAGAGGCGGAAGCACACGAAGGATTCAGGAAAGGTTCACTAATCAAAGGAAATAACCGAAGCGGGAGAGGAGGTGGGCTCACGGCTGAGTTGAAGGGAAGGAACATCTTAGGTTCCCAGCATTCCCAAGTTCTTACCTACGATGGTGGCAGGGTTTGGGGTCGGGCTTTTGTTTAGTTACTGTCCGGGGTCACTGGTGAAGTGGCACCTGGCTGTGCAAACTCAGACTAGAAAGGCGGCCACAGGCTCACAAGCCAGCCTTTGGAAGCACGGGTGTTCCGGGCGCCGACCTCCTTCCCGCTTCCCCAGCGCTGCCGGCGCGCAAAACCCTGCGGCCGCCCAAACACAAGATGGCCTGGGCTGCTTCGCGGCCCGTTTGAAGCCACAACCAGGGCTTAAGATGGAGGCGAACACTAAGCTAACGGCCGGAAGAGCGCGCGGGATCTTCCAAAAACAAAAATGTCCTCCGTGCAAGATCTTGCGGCTTCCAGTGGGGGCCCAAAACAATCATGGCGGCGGAGGACCTCTATCTAGAGACCGCGAACAAAGCGAGCTCGATTGGTCGGTGACAAACCAGTTACCCGCTGTGGCAGGGAGAAGGGCGACCGAGAGAAAAATAAAACTTAGCATTTGTGTGACACAGAACGTTTCTTGAAAATTACTAGCACAAAAAGAGGGAGAGTCTCCCGCATGTTTGATGGGGAACGAGTATAGAAAACACGGGTTGGCAGCTGAAGGTGACTTTCTCAATGGCGGTTGCATTGTGAGACAGCCATGAGCCTAACTCCTCTCACAGTTCCTTTGAACGGAAGAATGCCGTCTTAGCCCTCGAACGCATCGGCGGGAGGGGAGACGGCACGGACATGAGCCAGCCGGCGAGCGCACAGATTCAGAGGCCTCCGACGCCCGCGAGCCCCCGCGGGGACGAGGGGCGTACGCCGCGCCGCTGAGGGCCTCCCGCGCGCCCCGCTACACAGGGGTGGCCGCGACGGCGCCTCCTCTCCGGGTTTTCTGGGCGGCCGCTCCGGAAGACGCGGGCTGGTGAGCGGCCGTGGGATCCGGCGCTTCACCACTGGTCAAGGCCGGAAGGCCCGGGACCCGCCGAGAGCGGATGGTAACGTTCCATTCCACGAGCGCCTCTTAAGCGCGGGCCATAAGGAATACACTGTGCCTCTGCATGTCCGTGTGACCTGTCATTTAACGTTTCCACTTCCGACAGTGTGCCCAGACTGACCCCAGACGAGCCCCGCCCCCGGCCTTCCGGTCGCCGCCACCGCGTCCCCGGCCGAGAGCGTCACCAACGCCCGGAGGAGCGCGGGGCTGCGCATGCGCCGGCCCCAGCGCGGGCCCATCTCCTGGAGCGGCGGCGGCGCGGGCTGCGGCTTCGGGGGCTGCGGGCGGCGGCCGGAGGGCAGGTGAGAAGGCCAGGGCCGCCGCGGAGAGCCGGCTCTCTGCCCGGCTGCAGGGGGGCTGGGGCTCGTTCTCGCTCGGAAAGGTCACTGAAGGAGACCGGGGGCGGGACTGGGAGGCCGGCTCCTTAGAGACTGCGTTTAACCTGCAGCCTCGGCGCTGGGCGCTTGCTGCCGGGAGGAACGCGGAGGAGCGGGGGTGCTTTGGCATGCGCGCATAGCGCCAGGTGTGCACTCCTCCCTCGGATCCGCGCGGCCGCACCGGAACGTAGACGGAAAAGGCGCCCGAAGGAAGGCGCCGAATGCCCTGGCCCGAGACCTGTGTCTGCCTGGAGAGCCGCCCTCTGACGGCAGCACTCCGCACTCGGCTCGGACGGCAGAAGTAGGACTTGGCGCTTTGGACATTCTGGGCATGGAAACCCTGTTGAGATGAAGGCCTCCTGAAGTCATATGCTTCTTCCTCCCATGCCAGATCAGGCTCACATCCTGGTGGTGTTTCAGAGACTCCCTATGCCCGCAGTTTCATTGATGCATTCATTAACACCAGCAGTTCATATTCATATTTGTCACACTGCCTAGTTAGCAGATACAGAAGTGACCAAAACAAGCCACATTGACCTTATATTTAACGATGGGAGGGGCAACAATCAACAAGTACATTGATAAATGAACAAGATGTTTCCAGATTGTCCTCGGTGGGGTTCCCTGGGAAGCAGACCTAAGGACATTTATGGCCAGGACATTTGTTAGGACTTTTTGGAGCTTACCAAGGAAGAAAGGAGGCAGAATCGTGAATAGAAAAAGTTGAGCTGCAGTATGGTCCCAAGGAGTGTGTCTACCAAGTCTCACAGTAACTCAGAGTTGTCCCAAGTTGGAGGGAAGGGTCAAGACTATATCCCTGCAGTGATCAGTTAGTGGACACCCACTGTCCCCGAAAGAGGGCATAACTTCAGCTCTTTCCCCCAGTCAGCCCTGGGACTGACATCTGTCTGCGCACTGCCTGGAACTTGGATCAAACAGGAGTCTCCAGAAGTGCCTGTTTTTATATCTGATTTGTATTGAAGATATTGTACATACAATAAGAATAATTGCTGCCCTGTATTGAATGCTCATATATCAAATACTGGATAAACAATAAATATTTACATAGGTAAATACATAGGCATTCTCATTATATAGCACCATGTTACGGACTATGAAATTGAGACAGAAAATAAGTCTTTTGCCTAAGATCATACCTAGTGGGGGAGGTTAGAGTTTGATTTCCGTCATCACTCAAAGCGTCATTATTCTGGACCTTCACATTTAATCACTTAGCACCGTTAACTTCATTAACTGTTGTCAGAGAAACAAATATGAATTTATCACCCTGTCTTTGCTGTTTTGCTTTGTCCTTGAGTTTCCTTCTTTCCTTCATGATGAACTTTCCTGGCCCTCACTTTTGGAGCCTGTTACCTTTTCTTTAATATCCTGGAATCTTAGAGTCCAGCCTGAGTGCCAGGTATGTGATAACTGCACAACAACCTTGTGATATGGCTGTCAGTGTTGTTCTCATTTTGTGGATGAGGGCCCTGGAGCATTGTGAGCTTCAGGAAACATCCAGGGTCACAGCCAGCTGTCCTGTGCTAAGGCAGAGATGGAAAAGCCCAGGCGGTAGATTCCACAGCGTGTCCACTTAATCACTACACAACGGTGCATTCTTACCAAGATGATTTGTGGTGCTTTACCTTCTGGCAACTGGTAGTCAGGAACTAGGTTCCATCTTTTGTGCTGTACAGAGAAATGTAGGTTTCACCTTCTAGTCAAAAATGTCATTGAAGGCTTCTGAGCAACACAGCTGTAGCTGTTGTTGTTTTCCCCAAGATGGCAGCATTAAGAGGGTAGAGAATGGAATAGTGGGTTTCAGACTCAAGTGTCAAAATTACTTAAAGAATTTGTTGAAACACAGATGACTGGATCCCAGTGTAGAGTTCTGATTCAGTAGGTCCGGGGCAGCCCAAGATTTTACATTTCTGATAAGTTCCCAGGTGATGCTACTGCCAGTGGCGAAGTGACCACACAGAACCATTGGATTAGAAGCAAGTAAGGTAATGAGGGTCAGGGCTGTGGTGGTGGGGAGAAATTGTGCAAAAGAAATGTCAGGTCAAATGGAGAATTGGGTGACTGACTTGATGGGGAGTGTAAGAAACATCAGAGTCCACTGTATCCAGATTTCTAATTGAACAGCGTGGTAGATAATTTCTTTATTAAAAAAAAAAAGCAGGAAGTAGAGGAGAAACAGCAATTTGGGAAGGAAAGAGGATTCATTTTTGTATGAGATGAGTTTTAGACACTTGTGGGGAACAGCATCGTGGGATGTGTGGGACTAAGATGGAAATGCAGGCATGGGAGTCACTGATGGATGTGCTAAAGCAGAAACTTGGGTGTGAATGAGGACACCCAGGAAATGAACAGAGGGAGAAGACAGCCAAGGACAGAGCTTTGAGAAGGTGGATGGAAACCGAGGGACCATTAAAGGAGACCAATAGCCTCGGGTACTTAAAGTGTTTCAAGAACTCCTCAAAAGTGCTGCAGAGAGATTATAGGGAGAGATAAGTCAAAGCAGTTTCCATGGAGAGTGGAACAAAAGCAGATTGCTTGGGTGTGAAGATGGAAGTGGCTCTAGAAATGTGTTATTTGAAAGGAATCAGAGTGTCTAGTAACTGGAAGGAAGGGCCGGTAAAGGGCAGTGGCTTCAGAGAATTTGCTTTTGGTTCTTTTCAGCGGAGAAAAACAGTTTTGCCAAGGAGGAAGACCAGTTCCAAGAGGGAGATGGGAAGTAGAATTTGGGGGGGTGGGGTGATGCAGTTGGGACCCTGAAGACACAGTGGCAGGTGGGACTGACTGGCCAGAAGTGCCAGGTCCTCCTCCTCTGAGAGAGTGAGGAAGGATGTGAGAATGGGAGCTGAGATGGAGGTTTTAACACGTGGGAGCAGGAAGCAGAGGGGCTCATACCCAGGAGCCACAGTGTCTTCTGGCCAGTAGGTTATCTGCAGAAACCAAGGTGGAGAGTAAAATAGGAACCTCAGAAATGGTGAGGACAGAAACCAAGCCTTTCGAGATTCAGAGCTGACCGGGGGAACACACAGGCATTGCTGCAGCACTAAGAGCCCAGCCCACGTCTTCAGTAACTCCCCACCAGCTTCCATGTCAGATGGCAGGCAGCCGTGAAGATGGTGAACGGGACTGGAAAGGTTCTCAGACAACTCTCAATTTCATGATGACTCTCCACACCTTTCTGGTAAGCCACAGCCTGCCAGAAAGCTGATCATCTTTTCCTTGTTAGTTGCTAATTATTCAGTTGCTGTTCACATTTTAGGTTGTGGACAGTTAAAGCCCCCATATAAAACTTGTGATGCTTCCAGTATACTACGTATTTATGAAGACACTGAATTCACAGTAATGGAGTAGAGGAGAGCAGAGATGGTAAAATGCTTACGCCTTCACCATGCCCTGTGCCTGATCCTGACCCGCTCCAGACCAGGCTGTGCTGGTCAGCTGATTCTGACCAGTTACTGCCTGCTGGTCAAGGTAGGGGTAAGATTTTGCAGAAAGGAAACTTAGAGCTCAGGTTCGGCAGTATATATACTAAAATTGGAACGATACAGAGATTCGCATGGCCCCTGTGCAAGGATGACAGGCAAATTCATGAAGCATTCCGTGTTTTTCTGTAAGCTTACTGGTGGCTCAGACAGTAAAGAATCTGCCTGCAGTGATGGAGACTTGGGTTCGATCCCTGGGTCAGGTTGGGAAGATCCTCTGGAGAAGGGAATGGCAACCCACTCCAGTATTCTTGCCTGGAGAATTCCATGGACAGAAGAGCCTGGTGGGCTACGGTCCATGGGGTCGCAGATAGTCAGGACAGGACTAAGCGACTAACACAGATGGTCCACTCAGTTAATCAAGAATTGACAGTAAGTTTTTTGTTGTTTGTGTTTTGACAAGACTGGAAGAGTTCAGCAACGCTGTTACCTTAGGTAATATCGTTAGAAAAGGGGGTTAAAAAAGAACTACTGTTCTCTTTAGCATACCAGTTAGTCCAATAGGCCTGAAGACACCATGCAGTCCTTTCTAACGTGTACACAAAATTGCCAAAATGTGAACTTGTATTAAAATTGAGGATAAAAAGAACTACTTTCAGGGTCAGTAATTAGATTTCAGGAATGAGGAATTTACAGATACTTAAAATTAACATTCGTCACGCCAGAAGAAAAGGCATTATACAATTTCAATAAATTTAATGAAATATCACAGCCACAAGAGTTGGGTTAATTAATTGTTCAGCTTTCCATTTAGTGTTCTCTTCATGTTTAAATTACATTTAGTAATTTTAAAAAATGTTTTAAACTTTTTTTTTCTTCAAATACTTTAAACGGAGCCATGATGAAGACGTTGAGAATCTACCTTACACTGTGTTCAAAAGGCCAGCAGATGGCGCCCCGCAAGCCCAGTAGGCAAAAGGAACGCCTTCCCCAGCATTGCCTGCATCCGGGTTATTGTAAACCTAATGGATAGCGAAACTCTGTGGTTTTAACTGACGTGATGGTGCATACAAAGAGTAATCTGATAGCCAGAGCCAGGTTGTTTAGGATTAAGTGGGTTTTTTTGCTCTTCACGTTACTGATCAGTTCTATGCAGTCAAAAAGATTATGATATTTTAGTGGGTCAGAGATGTAACCAGCTTTTCTCCATTCTTTTCATTAATCTCTCACCATTCTGCACTAAGAACTGAGCTTAAAAAAAAAAAAAGCGTCTAAAATTAGTTCCACTCGTCTCATCCATTAGTAGATCATGGGTGTGTGTTTGGAGGATATGGGCTTTTTTCCCCTCTCATTCTGAACCAAGTGGCACAAGATGTGTTAACCTCTAGTGTACCCTGCCTTGAGAATAAAGACATGCCAGGTGTAATGCACTGGGGGACTTGCCCTCAGTGACCTGCACAGGTATGCAGCATGTACCCAGAATGTTCTCAGCACACATCATTATGCAGTGGGAATTCTGACTGACTCTTGCCAAAGCTGAGATACTAATACTCAACTTTTGAAAATTGCCATTAAGAATACCAGCCAAGACTAGGACTCCAAACTCCAAGATGAGTGCCACAATTAACTGACAATAATTTTAGAATCATTTAGTGTTTCCTCATATATAAAGTGGTCCCAAAATTGCTATGAAAACAAAAAGAAAAAATAGGAAACTTTTTGAATAATGCAAAAAATCTGTTTTGGAAAGAAGGCTATAAGAAAGCATCTGTGCCAATGGCCTATAAACATTTTCTATACTTAACAGAGGCGTTTCAATGGATAAAATCGTAAATATCTACTTTCAGTTTTGCTTAATGTAAAATTTACTAATCTCTTTTCCATTTTCTTGATTTCCTCCATCTTTGTAACAGAGCCCCACACCCTCTGTTTTCATTTTTCTTAGGAGCGTGTTCAGAGAGGACCCAGGAAAGATAAGGGCAGTGGCAGGTAGACTGGGGGAGGGTAAGGAAGGGGAAGACGTCTTCTTGCTGTGGTTTGTGTCGCTGCTTTAATCCAAGCAAACTTGAAACGCTCTGTGAACGAAGAAGCACTAACTCGTTTTAGAAGCCAGCCTGTTTTTTCCCATCAAATGTGATCATTTTGAGCATATTCTTGAGAAAATCTTGCTTCAGACTTAGGAATCTCTTGTGTCCATAAAATAGTTCCACACCACTTGTAATAACTCGTTGCCAAATGTTTTGAGGGAAGGGCCATCTCAAGAAAAGCTGTGTCCGGCTTCGTTTTCCATCCCCAAGTTGAAGCTCCCTGTCTCCCTGCTGCTCAGCACTGTGAACCTTTGCAAAAGTCAAAGTTTTAAAAACCTTCTTGTTAATAAATTCATTTTAAAAATGAGTTAATTGTTAGGAATTCTAGTAAGACTTTGTATTATCCTGAGAAGCAGCATAGAGAGGCTAAGGCGTGGATCTGGAGGATTTACAAGAGTACTTGGCATGTTTAGCAATAAAACCCTGAAAAAAATCTCAGATTTCTATCAATCAGTGATCTGTTAAGTTAGGATATCGCCATAAAAGCTACATAGCTACTAAAAATCATAATGAAGATTTATATTATTGGAGGAAGAAGAGATTACAAAACGAGTGTATATTGCGATCCCATTTTTGTTAAAACCAAAAAGATGACAGATTTTTTTAGCTTGCTTATTACCCAGGGAAGACCCAAAGGCATACTGAGTGCTGGGAGCTGCCTTGATGCCAATCTGAGGAGGGTTCCTGGCACATCGCATTTCATGCTGCCATCTACTGTACATGGAGGGATCGTACCACACTTCCCAGACACAGCTGTCACAGCTTGGACCTTGGTTTATTCTGAATTTCAGTTATTGAGTTATTCATCTCAGCTTTATTATTATATTCTTGAAGTCCAAACATGGAGAAGGAAATGGCAACCCACTCCAGTATTTTTGCCTGGGAAATCCCATGGACAGAGGGGCCTGGTGGGCTACAGTTCATGGGGTCGCAAGAGTCGGACATGACTTAGCGACTAAACCACCACCATCACCGTTCCAAATGAGACTTTTCTATGAGCTGTTTTCCTAAAAGTTCATAACTCAGGAAAAAGTGACAAATATGATGACATGTTGGTGATCATGAGAATAAAACGGGTAGAGGTATAGTCTATGAAAAGTGCTGTGACTTGACAAGCTCACGTCAGAAGAGACAGTTGGAGCTGGTTAAAGTCACCTTAAGTGTTGAGACTGGATGTGAAAGGACAGTATATTCTGATCCTTTAATTCAAGGTATTTTGTGGACGAAAATGCCACCTGTCAACACAGACCATTGACTTTGGCACAGCCTCAGTCCTTCCATCTCAGAAGTAAGTCTTATTCAAGCTTTTCCCTCATTATTCCTGGTCACCCAGGGCCTCCCTCAGAGGTTTTGTTGTTCATCAAATCTCAAATGCCCCAAAGGCTTTTGCACAGTGGGCTCCACAAGGAAATGTAATCATGATACAGTTATTTGTGATTGACTTTCTCCGAAAATTAGAACATGAGTATGTCAATAAAAGGTATGGTGGCTAAGGGTTGCAAAAAAGCAGATAGAATGCCAAAGCCCTTGAGGGAAGAGAGAGGGCCAAGAATACTTGCAGTTACAAAGCAAGCCATGTTTTCTCTAGCAGTTTGTTTAAGTTTAGCAGAAAAGTCCTTATGAAATGTGAACTTGTACCTTGAGAAATCGTTTCTAATGCTGGGAATAACGTATGTACATAGGCATAACTGTAAGCCTTCTGTTTATTTTTAATATGTATATACAGAACACAGTTCAGATATGTAGCTCATTAGTCCTGTATTTTAATCTTGCCTTAAAAGGGAAGGAATAAGTAAAAATTCTGTTCAGACATTTTTTCTAAACACATTCACACAAAATTACCATAAGCGATTTCATAATGGAACTTACATACATGCCACTGAACCTAATTCTTAACAGTCCTTATTGTCCTTCATTGCCCAGATGGGATCTTGGAGAGCTAGTCCGCTCAGAGCATGAGTGTATAAACGTATCACTAAAGCCTAGTGAGCTCCCTTGAGTAAAAACGTGTAAGAAGTGTTTAGAGGTCGTCTAGACTTAAGATCCCAAACCCAACAGTTCATCAGAAACAGACGTCCTGGGCCACACTCCATGCTTTCCAAATCAAATAGAGCACAAAAACTTAATACTATTGACCTTTGAAACTCCAGGCAAGTTCCTAGCCCTAGTTTCTCCAAGTAAATTTTGTTGGCGATAAAGCTTATCAGTTCAGTTCATTTCACTCAGTCGAGTCTGACTCTCTGTGACCCCATGGACTGCAGCACGCCAGGCCTCCCTGTCCCTCACCAACTCCCTGAGTGTACCGAAACTCATGTCCATTGAGTCGGTGATGTCATTCAACCATCTCATCTTCTGTCATCCCCTTCTCCTGCCTTCAATCTTTCCCAGCATCAGAGTCTTTTCCAATGAGTCAGTTCTTTGCATCAGCTGGCCAAAGTATTGGAGTTTCAGCTTCAACATCAGTCCTTCCAATGAATATTCAGGACTGATTTCCTTTAGGAGGGACTGGTTGGCTCTCCCTGCAGTCCAAGGGACTTGAGTCTTCTACAACACCACAGTTCAAAAGCGTCAATTCTTCAGCACTCAGCTTTCCTTATAGTCCAACTCTCACATCCATACATGACTACTGGAAAAACCGTAGCTTTGACTAGATGGACCTTTGTTGGCAAAGTGATGTCACTGCTTTTTAATATGCTGTCTAGTTCAATCATAACTTTTCTTCTAAGGAGTAAGCGTCTTTTAATTTTACGGCTGCAGTCACCATCTGCAGTGATTTTGGAGCCCAGAAAAATAAAGTCTGACACTGTTTCCACTGTTTCCCCATCTATTTGCCATGAAGTGATGGGACCAGATGCCATAATCTTTGTTTTCTGAACGTTGCATTTTAAGCCAACTTTTTCACTCTCCTCTTTCACTTTCATCAGGATCCTCTTTAGTTCTTCTTTGCTTTCTGCCATAAGGTTGATGCCATCTGCATATCTGAGATTATTGATATTTCTCCTGGCAGTCTTGATTCCAGCTTGTGCTTCATCCAGCCCTGCATTTCTCGTGATGTACTCTGCATATAAGTTAAATAATCAGAGTGACAATATACAGCCTTGACGTACTCCTTTCCCTATTTGGAACCAGTCTGTTTTTCCATGTCCTGTTCTAACCATTGCTTCCTGACCTGCATACAGATTTCTCACAAGGCAGGTCAGGTGGTCTGGTATTCCCATCTCTGTAAGCATTTTCCACAGTTTGTTGTGATCCACACAGTCAAAGGCTTTGGCATAGTCAATAAAGCAGAAATAACCCTTATAGTGTATAGTTATTAGTGATAAGGGTAAACACTAATTACAGAGGCTCAGTACAGAAATGAGGAGGTGGCATTAATTCATAGAGTTCAAGCCAGAAGTCTTTTGCTACAACTGGGACCAATGCATGACTCCATTTCAGTGGAAACATCATCACTCACATCCTGTCAGAATGCAGAATCTGAATTCTCACTGCATATTTAAGGACTGCCATTTGATTCTTCTGTTAAAATTGTAATTAAATAGATTTTTTAAAAAAATAATTTAACTTTGTTGTGGTTCAGAGAAATTATTTATATAAAGACAATGACACTGATGCATGAGTGTTCTCGGCAGCTTTCCCAGCAGGTGATGTTGCTTGCTGACTGAACTTTTAGTGTTGCCCTGTATGTTTCCAAGCCTTATCTCCTGCCATCCCTGTAAGTCTGCAACTTACCTCTTTTTGTTCAATAACATTGCAATGTATTGTACCTAGAAGCTTTTTAACAGGCAGCTTTTATTAGAGGGCAGTGTTCTGCTTGTGCTTTAGAGGTGTAATTTTAGAGGGCTTCTGTTTGTTTGTTTTTAACTGTTGACCTTTTCTTAGGTACACTGATGCTGAAGTACTATGAGCTTTCAGAACTTCTGGAAAGACTACAAAGTTCTGGTGGTTATGGTACCTCTGATTGGGTTCATACATTTGGGGTGGCACAGGATCAAAAGCAGCCCTGTTTTCCAAATTCCTAGTAAGGAGAACCTCTCTGAATCAGACACTCTGGCAATTACAAGTCCTAAGAAGAACCACCTCCCAGGGAAGTAGCAGGCTTGCAAGTTTCAGGTGAGTTTGATTTACCCCTCAAAATGCATTTATACAGGAAAAGCAAAATATGCTTAATTTTCCTTTGTTGTTGTTTAGCAGCTAAGTTGTGTCTAACTCTTTGCAACCCCCCCATGGGCTGTTGCCCACTAGGCTCCTCTGACCATGGAATTTTCCAGGCAAGAATACTGGAGTGGGTTGCCATTTCCTTCTCCAGGGGATCTTCCCAACCCAAAGATCAAACCTGCATCGCAGGCTGATTCTTTACCACTGAGCCACCAGGGAAGCCCTTGTTTCCCTTTATCAGTTTTTATAATAACAAGTTAATGCTCTAGTAGCAATGAGAGTTTTTGTTCTTGATGACAACATGAATTCAGAAGTTTGCATAAATTTGAATTATCACAGTCATTATCATGAATACTCTTCTTAACGCTTAAACTGTCCCATCTTAGATTCCCTCCAGATTCCCACGGCGGTCTGTTTTATATGGTCATGTATATGTCTCCCTGCTCTTCTTGTGATTTGTCACACCCTCCCCTTCCCCCGCTGTGTCCACAGTCTGTTCTCTATGTGTCCATCTCCATTGCTGCGCTGCAGATAGGTTCAGTAATACCATCTTTATAGATTACCTACACATGCATTAATGCTCAATATTTGTCTTTCTCTTTCCAGCTAACTTCACTCAGTACAACAGGCTCTAGGCTCATCCACCTCATTAGGACTAACTCAAATGTGTTATGTTTTATAGCTGAGTAGTGTTCCATTGTACCATAACTTCTTTACCCATTCATCTGTCAGTGGACATCTCGGTTGCTTCCGTGTCCTAGCTGTTGTAAAAAGTGCTGCAATGGACATGGGGTACACATATCTCTTCCAGTTACAATTTTCTCAGTAGTGGGATTGTTGGGTCATATGGTAGTTCTATTCCTAGTTTTTTAAGACATCTCCATACTGATCTCCATAGTGACTGTATCAATTTACATTCCCTCCAACAGTGCAAGAGCGTTCCCTTTGCTCCACATCCTCTCCAACATTTATTGTTAGTGGACTTTTTAGTGATGGCCATTCTGACCAGTGTGAGGTGATACCCTTTATAGTTTTGATTTGCATTTCTCTAGCAATGAGCAGTGTTGTTCATCTTTTCATGTGTTTGTTGGCCATCTTTATGTCCTCTTTGGAGAAATGTCTGTTATAGGTCTTCTGCCCACCTTTTGATTGGGTGGTTTGTTTTTCTGGTGTTGAGCTGCATGAGCTACTGTATATTTTGGAGATTAATCCTTTGTCAGTTGTTTCCTGTGTCATCTTTTAATAACTATTACTTTTTGACAGGAAAAGTCCCTACCTCATCTCATTTATTTCTTGGCTCAGCCATTTCTCCAAAGAACCCTGATTTCCTTTTAGGAAAAAATTTTACCTGTTTATATTTCTTTAGAGCATATTTTATAGCTCTGAATTGAGAATACACTCATGGAAGTTTTAGTATTAATATTTAATTGTTATCCATCACTGCAAAAAGACTATCTGCCAGGCCAGTGCACCCAGGAATAGTCAGGGCCATTCTTGGGATGGTAACTTTTGGAATAATGGGTCACATTGTTAGGAAGAAAGAAATAGCTGAGTTGGCACTTCCAAACCTATTATGTAAGCCAGCCCTGTGTTTTATGTCCCCTGTTTTCTCCGTTGAACCTTATTTTGTCTAGAGAAAGACATGGGACCATGAGTCAGCAGTTTTGACATCCTGAAAATGATTTGGCGGTCACCAACACTTTCTTCCTTTCTCATAAAGATACTAGCCAAAAGATGTGGTTACTGGTCTAACTACCACAAGACTGTTAGAGGGGCCAATTTAGCCCCTTTTGAGAAGTTGCATGTTACTATTATGTACTGAAAAGTAACTACGTAAATCACTTTATTGGTCACAGTCTGTTAAGATTTGTGGTTTGTGTAGGTGTTGTAATATGCAAATTTACAAATGGAAGTCACTTCACTAAGCTTGCATTTAAATGTATTTCACAGATTTTGTTGAATCTAAAATAAGCTTTGAAATAATATTTAAGTTATTTGGCTCTTTCTCCTATGAGATGAACAGAAACTTTTTTCCTCATGCTGTAAAAAGAGACAACTATAGCTTTATCATTACAGTGAGAAAGCTGGCCATCCTAGCTTTCACTTTATTTGGGCCCAGTTGCCATGGTTACAGCCCTCTAACTAAATTAGGAGGCGTGATAACCAAAATAACACTTTGCATAACATTCCTTTGTTCTCTTCACATCTTCCTTGCACGTCTTCAGATCACCTTCCTGGTCTGTATTATACTCTGCCATAGTCTACTCCGGGCAGGACTGTAGTCTGAGTAGTTCAGTTAGTTTTATTTATGCTGAACACTGTCCAAGTGGTTAGCATGGTTAGTATATTCCTGAAAATAACCAATAATCGGTTGAACCTATACCTTCAAAGCACCAAACCTCAACAGATAAGGTGTGTGACCAGAGATTTTTATTCTTTCCACACATTATTATAGTATCAGAAGTTTACGCCTCCAGCTCACTTCTTCCAGCCTCATTAAGGAGACTAGTACAAGTGCTAGCACACTTGGTAAACGGTAGCATTTTAGGTTATTTACCCTCTTTGAGGTCAAACTGCCAATCCAGTCCTGTCTTCCTCCTTGTCATCCAGCACATTCCCTGGCTTTTGTATTTATTGTCATAAGCCATAGTTTGGGAGTGGATAAGTTGTAAGACATCAACACTGAGTATCATTGATTGATAGGGTGAAACTACAAAAGATTGCTCTGACTTTAGCCACATATTTTAAACATGGTTTATTCTTCAGTAAACGTGTTGTACAGATTTGTCTAGCTAGATGTAGACTGTATATTAGATAGTGTCTATATTAGGAATCCTGACGGTTATCTCATTTTCATAATTATTTACAGACAGGATTTGATACAAATACACTTGTATTCAGACCTAAGGTTTCCAAGCAAACCAAAGTTAGAGAAAAAAAATCACTATATCTTGATGCTAGAGAATAAAAACATTTGGGATGTCGAGACTAGATTCTATGCGTTTTACTATATACATACCATTTCTTTTCTAGAAGCATATCATATTAAAATAACTGTACTATAAGCTTTCTGGCTGTGTTGTTCATTCCAGAATTATTAAAATATCAGTACTTTTCATTGTAGAAAGTCACTGAAGAATAAAGAAATGGGTGTTTTTAGTCTTAATTTATATTTCTCATTTTCTGGAGATTTGTACCTGTGGGTAGTTCCTTTTTCTGAAGAAGGAGCAGAGCGTTCAAATTAATTACTAAACTTCAATTATAAAATGTTTTGGGATTACTTCTCTAAAATATTTTTTATTTTTATTTCTTATAGAAAGAAGCAGCTCTGAGTCAGAGCTTGAGCTAGAAAGAAGAGATGAAAAATAGCAGTTGGATCAGAAAGAACTGGCTACTTGTAGCTGTGATTTCCTTCATAGGTGTCCATCTTGGGACGTATTTTATACAGAGGGCTGCAAAACAGTCTGTAAAGTCTCAGCCTGAAGACAAACAAAAGAATTTGAATAATGGAGTAAAATAAATATTTGGAATTACTAAAATGTCATTATATTGATCATTATGTGCTGATTAGCTTCATAAGCATGGAGCTCAGTATTTAGTTTTACAGCCACCATGCTGTAAATCCGAACTCTGATTCCTGAAAGATAATCTTGTTAAATGTTAAAACCCTCGACAATACAATGAATAGAAAACTCGGGTTAACAAAATAAAAGCTTTCTTCGCAAACTATCGCTTGCAGTAACATGTCTCGTTTAGAAGCTAAAAAGCCCTCGATCTGCAGCAGGGAGCCCCTGACGGGCGGGCGCGCCGGGGCCAGCCTGGCGGCCTTGCGGGGCCTCGTCGCGTCGTGCTACGGCCCGGCGGGCAGGCTGAAGCAGCTGCACAACGGCCGCGGCGGCCCCGTGGCCACCACCTCCCGTTCGGCCGCCCTCCTCGCCGGCCTGCCCGTCAGCCACCCGGTGCTGAAGGTCCTGACGGCCGCCGTGCGGAGTCACGTGGCCTGCTTCAGCGACGCCGGCTTATTCACAGCCATCCTTTGCTGCAACCTCGTCGAAAATGTTCAGAGACTAGGCTTGACACCCACCACGGTTATTAGGTTAAATAAGCATCTTTTGAGCCTCTGCACCAGGTACCTGAAATCTGAGGTCTGTGCTTGCCGAATCCCAGTCGACTTTGGTAGCACTCAGATCCTCCTGAGTTTGGTACGCAGCATATTAACCAGTAAACCTGCCTGCATGCTCATCGCAAAGGAGATTGACCACATCAGTACTCTGATTCTGAGAGCCTTTCTGCTTACCATTCCAGAGAACGCCCAAGAGCACGTCATTTTAGGAAAGAGTATAATTGTCCCTTTAAAAGGGCAAAGGGTTATAGATTCTGCCGTGTTACCCGGAATACTTATTGAAGTGTCAGAAGTTCAACTGAAGAAGATACTACCTATCAAAAAATCAGATTCCTTCAAGGTGGCAGTCTTTTGCGTGTCTTTGTCCGGAGACCTTTCTGATACTGGAGAAGGAACGCTGTTGGTCAGTTATGGAGTTTCTCTTGAAAATGCAGCTCTAGACCAGTTGTTCAACCTAGGAAAACAACTGGTTAGTGACCATGTAGATCTTGTCTTGTGTCAAAAAGTTATACACCCGTCTTTGAAACAGTTTCTCAGAACTCATCAGATTATCGCTGTAGACAGAATTGGAGTGTCTTTGATGGAACCCCTGAGTAAAGTGACAGGTAAAAGGTGCTCTTTCGGTCTTTGCCCTTTATGGTTAATAAATCACACTTCCCTTGAGCAAAGATATTCTTGGTGTGTGTTGTGTTAACATATTGAACAATTTGAAAAGCTGCCAACCTCAATGCATGTGTGAGTATCATTTCTGGCAGCAAAGGTGGTTTCTGAAAATGATTCTGTATTGTTCACTTATTAAAAATTGAGTGATGATGACTACTTTGTAGGTATTTTCCAGCCCCAAATGTACTGCAGAGCCTGTCATAATATACAGCTATTAACCCCCGAACATTCAACAGATTATTGAGAAATCTAACATTCTTACAATCATATAAAGTCTCATAATTTAAAATTCTTCTACTTGAGTTTTACAAAGCTCTTAAGTCACTTTGTATTATCGAACTCCAACAATCAACTGTACTTCTGCCTAAATAGTGGTTTCTAATTAGGGTGTGTGTGTGTATTATTAGGGTGTATGTTTGTTTAAAGCTAGCACATGATTAAATATCCCAGATATTTCCAGCTAAGCTTGAGAGCCGGGGTTGCCTTTTACTTTTAGTGCTTAAAACAAGCCTGGTCCATAGTAGGGGTTCTAAAATGTTTGTTGAATTAACAATAATATATTTATTAACATAGAAAATTATAACAGGCAAGAATTTCACTGTATTTTACAAACCTGGCAAATTGGAAACAGGTTGGTACTCACCTAATAGAGACAAAGAGAAATGACAAGTTAAAGAGTTCCTGATTTGAGCCACTTTTCAATATCTCTTAACTGCATTGACAACATATCAGAATCATTTCATTTGGATAAATTTCAATTTATAAGTGGTTAGACTTAAGAGTTTAATAAATTTTGGTAAAACTGTTAAAGTTGACTATTTTTATAAGTCATCAGAGAAGTGTGAGTGCCAGTATTGAATCCCTAGTATCTCTGAACTGTTGCTACCTCTGGACTATTAGATGATCATCAGAGTGGAAATTGTTAAGAAATAGTGGCAGTTGTTCTTTGCAACTCATTAGTGATGTTGTGGGTCAGACTCACATCCCTGAGCTTTCCATGAGCAGGTGATTTCAAGTTATGAATATTGAGTATTAAATATTATGAAGTCAGTTTTTAAATTCTGAAGAATTTTTCCATAGAAACAATGTAAGTGGGCACTGGGTTTCCACACCAGCCCACAATTGATTTTTATCCCACTGGTAACTAGAGTGTGGTAGAACATGAACTGACCTATTTTACTTGCAGATGGATACAAAAAGTTAAGAGTTCTCCAAGTATTTGCAGCTGATTCATTGGTTGCTCAGGACTGTTATCAAGAGACTGCAGAGCTACCAGTGGGTGCCTGGGATTGGGGGGAGCGTGAACTTCTTTTATAAACATGCCGTTCTCTGCTCCCCCAAATAATTTCGGGTTTGATCCCTGGGTTGGAAAGGTTCACTGGAGTTGGGAATGGCTACCGACTCCAATATTCTTCCCTGGAGAATTCCTTGGACAGAGGAGCCTGACAGGCTTACAGTCCATAGGGTTGCAAAGACTTGGACACAACTGAGCAACCAACACTTTTACATAAAGCCAGAGTTGTAGTCTTGGATCTTGGGGGCAGACACTTTCTTGAGACAAAAGAGAAAGGGGGAAGAAAAACTCTTATCAGGCCCCTGTAGCTTCATTAAACAATAGGTGAAGTATGTTTGAGCCTCATCCATCTTATCTAGGTTGACATTACCTCCCAATCCCCCTTCAAACATAATTCCTCTTTTTGGATAGTTTAGGATAAGTAATGGGGTTATCGTGCTTGGTGGACTGGTGGGTATGAAGCTTGTCATGGCTTTCAAAACATTTTTAACCTTTGACTTGTTTTGATTGATTTGTGAAATACTCATGATCATCCCCACTTTACTCTCCTGTGGGGAAGCCCACCAAGAAGAGTTCAGTGATTTGCTCCACATCAGAGGCTGGTCAGCAGGAAAGCTGAGCCTTTCCTTACAAATTTTCTGTTGGTTCTACCCTTGAAGTGTTGTACAAGATGTAGGGTTTGTTTCTTTTTCTTAATTTTAAATCTCTCAAGTATTCCTTGTTCTTTGAGACTTCAGAAGTAAAGATATTCAAAGAAGTGAAAGTGTTCATGAGCTGCAAGAATATTTAGACATTGTTTTAATTCCATTCATTTGAAAGAGGAAACTGGCCCAAGGAGGTGCATTGCTGAATTACAGTTTTAAGACCTTAAACTAGTATTGTTACTTCTTAAAAGGTTGTTGCTGTTTCTTATATAGCTTTACTACATTTAGAGATTTTAGAAACCTTCAAGTTATCCTAACTTCTCCTTCATTTGTATTTTTATTAATTTGTGTTTTGTAAAATTGTATTATTTTACCTATACAGGAGGGAGGGCAAGATATAATCAAAAAAAACCAAAATGAAATAAGAAGATCGCATACTTTATTTTGGCATGGTTTAGGTAGTTGTTTACATACAAACAATTGTTCGGCAAAGCAAAAAAAATTCCTGTATGTTCACTAAATGGAGCGCCAAAGGAATTCAGCCATACAGCTATCTGCGTAGCTTAGTTTGTGAGTTTTAAGGTAAAAATAATAACACCCTTTAAAAATAGCCTGTCTCCTCATCTCATCCTTATTTCAGATTAGTGTGGTTGTTAATTTGGGGTCTGTGATCCCTGACTGGACTTCCAGAGTTCCTGGACGTCCTGAAAATGTATGCAAAATTGTGCATGCCTTTTTCTGGAGAGTGCAGAATTGCTTCTAACAAATGTTCAAAGTCTGTAAATCAAAAGAACCACTGCTTTATTTGCACATCATTTGAATAATAGAGTACTATTTATAGGTTTAAGAAGATGCATCTTATTATTTCTTTATCCTGCATTTCATATTTTAAATGCTTTTGGAACTTTATATTAGCTAGGAATGAATATTGTAATTTTAAATGGTTGTAAGCTCCATGTTTATTCATCTATTTTGTGTTTTCTAAACTTTTTAAAAAAATAGGAACACGGCCTATTGGTTCCTTGGGCTCAATCTCTCCCAGTAGTTATGGAACTGTAAAAGATTTGTGCATTGCAAAGTTTGGCTGCAAACATTTTTTTCATCTTATTCCTAACAAAACAACTGTCTGTAGCCTGCTTCTCTGCAACAGAAATGACACAGCCTGGGATGAGCTGAAGGTAGGTAATAAATGTTGAATTCCTTATCTAAGGATTGGGACAGGGATTAAAGAATCAGATAGGTACTATAATTTTTTTCACATCAGTCAGCTGTGCTTTTTTTCCTTCACAACTTCCCTAGGTGGTGTAGAAAGCAAAAACAACCAAAATGTGAGAATTACATTCATAAGTAAGCTGATTTAATTTCCTATGATATAAAAACTTGGCATATATTGCCTCTTATTATTTCTAGTAATTTACAAGCAATGTAAAAGTCCTTGATGGGAAATTTTCTTAAGAAATTAATTTGAATTGTGTACTCGATGCTAATGTGTATGAGTAATTCACTCAGAAATAGGTTCCCCAGTTATATCCATCATCCACCTCTTAACAGAGATGTTCACAAACAGCAATAACACATGCAGTTTTTATACAACGAAAGTGATGCCCTGTGGTACTGGTCACAGACTGGAAGAATGGATACTCAGGCTATAGCCTGGTGAATATTCAAGGTCTGTGTGTTTTTATTGCTGCTGGGTTGGATCGTTTCCATAGCAACTTGAAATAAATTCTATATAGCATTTATACAGCTAGTTTATTTAGATGCAGATGTTTTTGTTAGAAATATTAGCACTGTGCTGATCCAGTTGTGTTTGTGAATCTCAATTTGAAGAACTTAAATGTATATGAAGGAGGATATTAGTCCAGTCCATGAAAACAAACATCTAGCTAAAGTATTCTTTCATTTCTAATTTTCATTATTCCAAAATGTATTCATCACATGACAACCTTGGTGACACAGGTTTTGCTCTTTTGCAATTACAGTCCAGCTCCTTGAGTCCACTGTCTAAGTTGCCTTGAAAATGCGACTGTATCTCTTTGTGTTTCTGGTGTCAGTGTCAGATTCTGCTGGCTGTTTCTTTTTTAGCTCACGTGTCAAACAGCACTGCATGCTTTGCAGTTAACAGTCAAGGAACCGTACGTTTTGTTGGGAGGTGGCTGTACTGAAACTCATTTGGTGGCATATATCAGACACAAGGTAGGTTAGATAGTCCCTCCTAAATTATCTGAATTCTCAGCAACATGCATTTTATGAGATAATAAGACAATAATACTCTGGAGCCTTTAATGCTTAATTTCTCACTAGTCTTGAAATCAATATTGTATTTAAAAACACTTGAGGAAAATAATACTCGAAAATATAAGCTCCTATCTTTATCACAATGATTATTAATCCAACCTTTTAGCAGACAATCACATTCTTTGAGGATTGTCTAAATACACTGCCTGCTGAAATGAGCATTCTGGGTTTTTTTCTAGTTTTGTTTTTTTTTTTTTAGCTTTTTAATTTTGTGTTGGGGTGAAGCCAATTAACAAACAACGTTGGGACAGTCTCAGGTGGACAGCACAGGGACTCAGCCGTACATATTCATGTATCTGTTCTCCCCCCAAACCCCCCTCCCGTCCAGGCTGCCACATAACACTTAGCAGAGTTCCATGTGCTATACAGGAGGTCCTTGTTGGTTGATTATCCATTTTATACACAGCAGTGTGTACATGTCCATCTCAAACTCCCTGACTATCCCTTCCACCCAACTACCACCGGCAACCGTAAGCTCCTTCTCAAAGTCCGAGAGTCTGTTTCTTTTTTCTAAGTAAGTTCATTTGTATTGAGATGAGCATTCTGTTAATGGGAGTTATCCTAGAGATCTCCGCGGCTGCTGCTAAGTCACTTCAGTCGTGTCCGACTCTGTGTGATCCCATAGACGGCAGCATACCAGGCTCCCCCGTCCCTGGGATTCTCCAGGCAAGAACACTGGAGTGGGTTGCCATGTCCTTCTCCAATGTGTGAAAGTGAAAAGTGAAAGTGAAGTCGCTCAGTCGTGTCCGACTCTTAGCGACCCCATGGACCACAGCCCACCAGGCTTCTCCACCCATGGGATTTTCCAGGCAAGAGTACTGGAGTGGGGTGCCATTGCCTTCTCCGTCTCCACTGCTAAGATGCAGTAATAATTGATATTCATGATGAAAGTGTTGAAATTCTACAAAAAGACTTCAGTACCTTCTGGATATTCCAGAAAAAACAATTTCATTTATTAAAGCATCTATTAAATTCTGTTATTTTAAATGGTATTCATTTATGATACATGTTAATTCTATTAAATAGAACTGTTTTTATCAATCTATGAGACTCCATATCCTAATAGTAGATAAATGTCACACTCATCTTTCTCATTCATTATTTCATTAACACTGACCTACTTTCTTTGAAAGTAGCCAGAAAAAGGTATGTGTTTTCCAAGTGCTTGCAGTTGGTTCTTTAGTCAGTCAGGAGTGCAGAGTCTCTGGGATGCCTGGGATTGGTGAGTGTGTAAATGTTTTCCATAGACATGCCCTGCCTTGCTTCCCCAAATAACTTAAAATCTGTATGAATATAAAGCTTCTTCATGAAAAGTTATCAAAATGTACATTATGAAAAACAAAACCATTGCCAATCTATTGATGCTGAAGAGACAATAATATAGTTTGCAAATGGAATTGAGTAAACTGGAAAAAGTCTTTTGGAGAAGGACAGTATCTTGAGTAGGATTTTGAAGAAGCAACATAGCACTGAAAATGTGGGGAGGGAATGTGCAATAGAGACGATATCTGGTTCCACTCTCCTGGGCAAAAGGAAAAAATGGTCATTGCTTTTGAGTAATTAGGATATGGATTTTTAACGATCATTCAGTGATGAGTTTGTTAATGTGTTATTTTTTCTATCATGAAATTTCTAAGATAGACTTTTTAGAACGGTGGAACAAAAGCAATTCAAAATTATATAACCTTGTCATTAATTAAAGAGAAGAATAGTTATTTTTTAAACATTAAAGTGAAAATGATATATGTCCCTAAATGGTTTTTGTCTTAGTTATAACACACATATTTGCATTTTAAAAAAATCCCCAACATTTACTGAGTATAAATAAGTACTTCATTTGTGACTTTGTTAGTCTTCACAAGCTTCCTTCTGGGTGTATAGAAGCCTGTGATTCACTTATTATGCTGTGTCTTTCATGTTTTACAAAGGCACTACTGGCAATCCTTCAGAACAAATTGATGGTGGGGTTAATTCTGAGTGATTCATTCTGATAAAATGACTGGTAGTGGGTGCTTTTACTGTAACAACCAGGTTAATGGATTAGCCTGGCCAGCTGGCCCATCCTTGCCCATTAGCCTTGTGCCAAACCCCAAGTACTGTATGACGAAGCATTTGATCAAGCATTTTTCAGAAACATTTTTGTCATCCTAATTGCTCTGTTCTGTGTTTTCAATGGTTTTGTTACTCTCTAGACCCGTAATGAGCCAGAAAGCATTCTTCGAGATGAGAGATGCTCTCAGACAGAGCTCCAGCTGGTCACTGAAGCGTTCTGCAGTGCACTTGAATCTCTCGCTGGCTCCTTAGAGCACGACGGAGGTGAAGTTCTTACCGATGGCAAGTATGGACACTTCTGGTCAGTTCAGGCCAACTTGCCTTCTGCTGTGAACTGGCCAGATTTGCCTTCCAGATGTGGCTGTGGACTCTACAGCAGCCAGGAAGAGCTCAGCTGGTCCTTCCTGAGAAGTGCTCGTCATCCCTTCCCACCGCAAACCTGCCTTTCCCCTGAAGCCAAAGGCTCAGCCGACACCCTGACCTTGGACTGTTTTACTGCGAAGCTTAGTGGCCTGCAGGTGGCTGTGGAGACTGCCAGTTTGATTTTGGATCTTTCATGTGTCATTGAAGATACAAACTGATACAATGTTCTCATACAAAAAGAAAAGCTAGTGACATGTCAATAAAGAGAAATATTACATTTATATGTTCTCTCTGAAAGGCCTGCTCTCCATATTGAGACTGATGATTCATAAAATCATAGATTTACTTATTTAAAGAAAAAAGAATTGATTCTTGAATAGAAATACCATAAAATAATAAAAATATGAAGGACTATTAAAATATGGTAATTATGTCAGCAAGTTCATAGATACCGCTGTACATTGTTATAAGTTTCTGTTCTCATTATTTTGACGTCATTCTAAGAGTATACAGAAATTTAAAGTATAAAGCTAGATTCCCAAGTATCACAAAGCATCCAGTACATACTGTTCATTCAAAAGAAGTGTTCAAACTGCACATTCAGTAAAATTTCCAAGCTCTTTATCTGAGACTGTATCATTCAGTAATTGGGTAATTGATGTAGAAGCTGCTCTACCTACAGTTGCTAGTTGTATCACTGTTCTTCATTTCTGTTATTCTGAGGAAATGTGTAATCAAGAAAAAAATAGACTTTATATAGTAGACTATAGTTTATATAGTCTTCCCCGATAGCTCAATTGGTAAAGAATGCACCTGCAATGCAAGAGATCCTGGTTTGATTCCTGGGTTGGGAAGATCCCCTGGAGAAGGGATTAACTACCCACCCCAGTATTTTGGGGCTTCCCTTGTAGCTCAGCTGATAAGGAATCCATCTGTAACGCAGGAAACCTGGATTTGATCCCTGGGTTGGGTAGATCCCCCAGAGAAGGGAAAGGTTACCCACTCCAGTATTCTGGCCTGGAGAATTCCATGGGCTGTGTAAGTCCATGGGGTCACAAAGAGTCGTACTCGACTGAGCGACTTTGACTTTCATACTTTTTTTCATTTTAAACAGCATAAAGAAGTGGAAAAACTATTTCTCCAGTTCAGTCAATAGTGCCAAAAAGAAACTGGAACCATTCTCATACTCAAAGACATGTCATATCAAGGAATATAACTTGAGTTTTATGCAAATGCAAAACTTACTGATAAATTGAAGAAGAAATACAGAATGTAGCTAGAATAGCCAGCATGGAGCATTAAATTAATTAACATGCTACATTAAATTTAAGGAAAACATCTTGAGAAGTGTGGAAAAATTAAGAGTCAGTGGTGAGACCTATAGTTACGATAGAGGGAGATAGAATGGTTTAGCAATTTCCTCCAAAATTCTTATAAATCTGAAATAATTTTTACCCTAAGTCAAAGAAAATAATTGTAATAGAAACTCACAGCAATAGAATATATACCAAAAAATCAGCTACACTGCAAGCTTCATAAAAGCTCTCTCCAAACTCTCGTGTCCTTTACTTTTAGGGTCGGTCAGGCAGAGTGGTGGGCCGCCTCCTGGGGATCAGGCCCTGTCTGATCCCTCCGTCTGAGCGTGGGCTGGTGTGGGCTGCTTTGCGTCCCTGCCCTCCCTTGGTGGACAGGCGTGTCCTAGGATGGTTATCCTATGCCTATCCATCACTGTATGTCAGGACATAACTCGCTTCGGTGGGTCTACAGGTGGAGAGGACCTGTGCTGAAGAATCACACCCCGGGAGCCTCACCCACCCGACCTGACTTCAGTAATGAGGTTCTAGACCTAGAGCTCATGTTGCAGCGTGATGAGAACCTGGGGCCTGGGGAGGAGGTGGGTCTATCTGGCATGTGCTGGGCGCCCAGATGGCTCCCATTGGTCTCACCTCTGGCGTACACCCTTTAAGTGTAAGTAGAACCAAATGACTAGGCTTTAATGAGCTGAATCCAGCAGAGGTGATGGCTGTTGTATCTGATACTGTGTGATCAAAAGATAGGCTTCTCTTTTGATCTCACTGACGGAGTGAGCCATCGGCCAGGTTGGGAGCTGCCCTAAGTAGAGGCCCACAGGACAAGGCTGCGGGAGGCTCCGGCCAACAGCCCACGAGGAGCTGAATCCTGCCAATAACCACAGAAGTGGATTTGGAAGCAGTTTCTCCCTAACGGACCTCAAGATGAGTATAACCTCTATCCTTCCAGCCTCATGAGACGCCCTGAAGCAGAGCATCTAAAAAAGCCACTCCTGAATTGATTCCTCATATATCTATGAGATAATAAACTTTGTCTTAAGCCAAGTTTTGGGTGTAATTTGTTAGGAAGCAGTTGTCCCCTAATAAAGGCAAGAGTAAAGCTTATTTATAATTACATACCGAAAATCTGATCACACAAGCGGAAAAAAAATTCTTGATGCCATGGCTTTGCATTTCACCATCACTCCGAACACAAAGGTGTCCTTCACACGTGTTTACCAAGGGGTTTTTATATTCACTTAAGAAAGGGGCTCATTTAGGAACATGGGATGTGTCCTGGGTCTCCTTGGCCCTGGACTGCATTTTGACTGTTGCCCAAGAAGGGATGCTGGAGCAAACCTCTCGACCTGACTTCTTAAGTTTTCATTCCTCGGGATAGCCATCTCTAACTGTCATTTTTAACTCTGCCGAGTTCAGTAACGTTTCTTTGTGAAACATCAGTGCTCTCATTTTGAGTTATGTCATAAATTTGTTGAAGTATTTTTTATAAATTCATGTTTTCTAAAGTGGTATACAATCTTTAGTAGAAAACACTGGAAATTAAAAAAAAACAGTTCAAGAAAATCGTCGTTCAAACTCAGATGGTAAAATATGAAAGGAAAACTCTTGAAGAAAATAATTTCAGAAGAGCTCATCTTGTTAGAAATAACAACAAAAGAGCAAGTGAGTTAAGCTTTGGGCATTGTTTGCTGATATACTAAGATGAAGTCTGATCGTTGCATTGCATTTCCTCAGGGGACAGAACAGGAAGTCCTGATAGCTACAAAAAAAAAAAAGGAGCATCATACAAAGGAGAATGAAGTCCATGAACATGGCTCAGCACATCTGTGGGACTCACAGAACATGTCTCATGTTTTATCATTATTATTTATTAGTAAAGTTCACTGAACCGTAGGGATTCGCATCTTATTAATCGAAATAAGTTAGAATTTTGGCAGCACAGAAAAAAAAGTGGAGAGCTAATACAAATTAAGACATTTTACATCAAAATATTCATTTGGTCTAGTAAATATCCTATTTCTTAATTCTTCCACTTATAGAATTTTTATATGTTAGACATTTAAACCAACTGTAAAGAATGAAGTATTTTCCATAGGATATTTAAATTATTAGAAGTATTTTTTTTTATCATAGGTATTCTCAGACTCAGTTTGACAATCAAAACTACTTAGGCATTCTATATGACTGAAGAGAACTTATAAGCACTTTTATAAAACCTATCATATTCTGTATTCTTATATTGTTGAACAGATTTTGGATAACTTTAAAATAAAACAGTATTGCTTATAGTCACATGAATGATATAGGTTACTATTTAAGAGTATCATGTAAAAAAAAAACACTCTCATAATCAATGCAGGCCCTGTCAAAATATCTGATTAGTTAGGTTATTCATTTCTGATAATCTTTGGAGAATAGTCAAGCAGACTAAACATATCTTATAGGGCCCTGTTTCAGCTGTATAAATAAATCTATCTTTTAATCTGAAGCAAAGGGGAAGTTTGAACATCTGATGGCTTTATAATTTTTTTTAAGTAGTTAAGTGTTTCCACTTTGTACCTATGTGCTTAGTTGCCCATTCGTGTCTGACTTTTTGTGACCCCATGGACTGTAGCCTGCCAGGCTCCTCTGGCTATGGGGATTCTCCAGGCAAGAACACTGGAGTGGGCTGTCATGCTCTCCTGCAGGGGATCTTCCCATCCCAGGGACTGAACCCAGGTCTCCTGCATTGCTGGAGAATTCTTTACCATCTGAGCCACCAGGGAAGGATCCCATAATCCTTGTAAATGTTTGCCATTCATGTACAAAATTTGAGTTTAGATGTTTCTAAACCCAATGTTAGCCTGTATTTTTAGATTACAAGTAGATTTTTATGCTTCTTTATATAGAATATAGTAATACTCAAAAAAGAGTAGGTAATCTCAAATTTTTCCTATATGTATATCAAGCCGTTTGTTGCAGAGATAATCAGTAGACTGGGTATGCTAAAATTCAGTTCAGTTCAATTGCTCAGTCATGTCTGACTCCTTGTGACCCCATGAATCGCAGCACACCAGGCCTCCCTGTCCATCACCAACCCCTGGAGTCTACCCAAACCCATGTCCATCGAGTCAGTGATGCCATCCAGCCATCTCATCCTGTCATCCCCTTCTCCTCCTGCCCCCAATCCCTCCCAGAATCAGGGTCTTTTCCAATGAGTCAATTCTTTGCATGAGGCTGCCAAAGTATTGGAGTTTCAGCTTCAACATCAGTCCTTCCAATGAACACCCAGGGCTGATCTTTAGGATGGACTGGTTGGGTCTTCTTGCAGTCCAAGAGACTCTCAAGGGTATTCTCCAACACCACAGTTCAAAAGCATCAATTCTTTGGCACTCAGCTTTCTTCACAGTCCAACTCACATCCATACATGACCACTGGAAAAATCATAGCCTTGACTAGACGAACCTTTGTTGGCAAAGTAATGTCTCTGCTTTTTAATATGCTGTCTAGGTTGGTCATACCTTTCCTTCCAAGGAGTAAGCATCTTTTAATTTCATGGCTGCAGTCACCATCTGCAGTGATTTTGGAGCCCAGAAAAATAAAGTCTGCCACTATTTCCACTGTCTCCCCATCTATTTGCCATGAAGTGATGGGACCAGATGCCATGATCTTAGTTTCCTGAATGCTGAGCTTTAAGCCAACTTTTTCACTCCTCTTTCACTCTCATCAAGAGGCTCTTTAGTTCTTCTTCACTTTCTGCCATTAGGGTGGTGTCATCTGCATTATCTGAGGTTATTGATATTTCTCCCGGCAATCTTGATTCCAGCTTGTGCTTCCTCCAGTCCAGCGTTTCTCATGATGTACTCTGCATAGAAGTTAAATAAGCAGGGTGACAATACACAGTCTTGACAGACTCCTTTTCCTATTTG